TCCTATCCTGCCTTGACTCCAGGTATATGTTCCCTGGCTGGGACTACTCAGGGACTAGAGTGGGGCACTCTGCCCATGATAACTTCTTCCGCAGCTACATGCGACCCTGATCTTCGCTCAGAGAAAGGGTGTTTATCAAGCGAAAGCCAGGAGGAGAGAGACAGGAGGAGACAGACGAGAAGCGTGATCCCCGTTACTCTCTCCCGCCCGAGCAGACGAGTTCTGTCTTTCCTATTTCCTGCCTCTGGTGGCTAAAGGAAGTGGCGCTCGTGTTTCCTGAATCTGGCTTAAAGCACAGGCCCAGCGGACAGTCGTGACTGCCTGGGAAGTGATACTTCTAGCTGCTTCCCTCCGGCGTCGTGAGACGCTCCTCTAGGGAAAATCCTCGCCCCCTCACCCCCCAGATCTTGGCACCTGGGCAAAGGGGGACGGTGGATATTTAGCCCCGCCACTCTTCTTTTGTTCTGCCCTGGCATTTGCACTGGGAGAGTCAGCAAGCCCTATCGTTTCCCGTGCTGTTTGTTTGACCGAAGCTTTCCCCGTTTGCCCCGCTTCACTTTGCATTCCCCGGCTGATCGCGCTCTCCCTTAAGGCTGAGACGCTCCAGAAATGGCTTATTTTTCAGCGGAGCAGCGAAAGGCCACAGAATGAGGACGGGGCGTGTATTGGACCGGAACTCTCCAGGCTCGGCTGTGCACTTTTTGGACTCTCAATGTGCTGCTGTTGGAAGGTCGACCTCGGTTTTCCGTGCCCACCGAAACTTTATTCCCCATACATAGAATAAACCCCCCTGGCCTTCCGTAGTCTAAGCGTATTCACACACTCGAAGAGGCAGAGACTATTTTATTAAACTGTTTTAATCGATTGCAAGGGTGCTGGAAGTAATTGAGGAACGCAGGTGTGAAATGGGAATTCTGGAACAAATTTCTCCAGACAGAGTGCTAAACCTGTGTTTATAAGGAGCTGTTGTAAAACCTAACACATTCTAGGGAAAGTGCCAGTCAACCATTCAGCAGCAGATGCCTCTGTGGTAACCAGCTGCCTGGTCTTTCCTCCATCCCAAGTCAAAATAGCCATGGAGGGCAGTGCCCGGGGACCCAAAGGGAGAGGGTGTGCCAGCAGCAGCCTAAAGTGACCCCTAGGAACTGGGTAGAGCTCAGCCCCCATCACATCAGCACTCAAATGGGCAGCCAAGGGTGCCAGACCAGATCCATGGCAGAAGTGGCACCCAGATAAGAGGGGGAACCACTGCTTCAAATCTGGAACAGCCAAGGGGGATTTAGGGGATGAGACAAAGACAACGTGGCCAAGATTCATTCATCTCATGATAGGGGAGAGGAAGTCTATATAGTTCAAACTGTACTGGCAAACCTTGTCACGTTATTCTCATATTGAATAATTTTGTGCTAAGATTTAAAAGACCCATTTCTTTTGTTGACAAATTGCCCCAGACAAGCCTGCTCCCTTTAGCCATTTACTTTTAAGCGGGCATGTGCACTTGTGTTCCCATCCCCACCCATCTCCCTTTTTTGGTACCGCACCTGCTTTTTTTTGGCTCATTAAATTTAATTAAGAACAGGGTAGATGTTCCATATTTAAGTGGGGGTAGTGTGGAGGTGGGGATGGATAATCACCTCCAAGGAAGCTAAAAGAAAGGATCTTTATTCAAAAGTGGGCAGTCGTAGTGAGCATTTGATTATTCTCACCCCCCATCTCTTTGCTGTCTCTTTTTAAAGTGCATCTGAGCGCGCAAACAGACACGTCTCGAAAACTATAAGGCATGCGTTCCAAAATTCTTCTCTCTCTCTGCATATCCCTGCAATAATTTTCCGCTTTCCCTCGATAAAATTGCCAAATAATAATGAATCATTTCATAAATAATGGGTTTAGGGGCTTATCAGGGCAGGCGGGCCAGTGCCAGAGGCTTATCTCGCTTGGCCACGTTGCTCCAGCGATCCGCTCTCCATACTAAATAGGAAACTGGACGTGATGTGGGAATGAGTTCCCGGCGCTGTGAAGCCGCCCAGCACTTCTCCTCCTCCTCCTCCTCCTCCTCTTTTTATATACTACAGGAGGAAGGGGGGCACATCCAGCCTCCATGAATAGGCCGCAAAATGGCTCCAGTCATTTTCACCTACGAAAAACAAGTGGTGAGTAAAGAGGTAGTTTTTCTCGCTTTTTGTTTGTTTGTTAAAGAAAGAAAATCGCTTCGTAGGTTAGGGTCCCCCAAACATCACATATAGCGAGAGTGGGCACACTCTCCTTTAAGTATTTTATTTCAAAAGGGGAGAGAGCAAACCGTATCGGAAAGACGAAAGGAACAGTCCCCTTTCCTTCTCAAGCCACCCATCTCCTTCTCTTTCTCTCACTCGCTCTCTGTGTATTTTTACACACAGATGCTCTGTAGTAAAGAAGGGCAGGAGGAAGAAGGGAAGGAAAAGACGATCAAGTCCTGGGTTGAGTTGTTGATCTAGTTCTTGCTTTGTGGGGAATCCTTCAAACTGACCCAGGCCGACCTGGAAGAGAAAGCGCTAGTGGACCTGGGCTCGCTGGAACTGGGGAAATGGTCATCGAGGGGGCAGTGCCCCAAGTGCCTTCCCTGGGCACAGTGCCCGTGAGGCCCACATGCAGACTTCAGAGTAACCCCCACTTCCAGCTTTGCACCAGACAAGCAAGCATTTGGGGGCGCCGGGAACAGCAGCCGGATGGGTCACCCATAAAACTTGGTGGCTTTGGGGAAGATTAAGACGTCGGGAAATCCGATTCAGTGTCTTGACTCTCTCACTCTCCTCCTCCCCCCCATCTCCTTCCCTGCCCCCCTCAATAATTCAGTGTGCAGGGATGGAAATGAAGCACGATT